CCCACGTGGTGGGGCCGCGCTCCCCGTCACCAGCCAGTCCCCAGGTACTTACAACCAGGCACCAGCGTAGCCATAGGTCAGGGTCCCTCTGAAGGCAGCCGTCACGTTTCTAATGGCGATGTGAATGACAGAGTTCTCCTTGAACTGCACCTCGCTCTGCTCTACGGATAAGTCATTGACCTGGATGCTGGAAACCACAGAAACCCAGTTCGTTGCCAGTGCCGGGGCTGTTTTCCATGACAGGTTTGCAAGGATCTCTAAGCAACCCATGACAGCTCCAGGCTCAGGAGCTTTTGCATATTCCAGGGGCCACGCACAAGGACACCGGTGCTTTCACCCAGCCCGGTGTGCTGCTCCTCCCTGGCCATGCTCGGCTTTGAGGCAAGGGGGAAACGGGAAGCGCGGAGTGCCGCGCTGCCCCAACAACCGTGTCGGTCACGGTCACAGAAGGAAACCCGTCCTCACCTTCGAGCTGTTGCATTGTTCGTGCCCAAAGAAAAGTTATGGCACCATCTGTTGGTGACTGGCCCCGGGAGCTCCAGCCCGCAGGGACCAAGCTCCCCATCCTCCCTGTCAGAGCTCTGCCTCGCCGTCTGCCCACCGAGTTGGAAAAGCTCTTCAATAACACAGCAGCAGCCTAAAATGCGTCTGCCCTGACCCAGACCTTTGCTTTCACCGGGTATTGTTTGCTCAGATCTCCCTCCAAGGCCAGTTTCCGCACCCCTCCATCAGCCCGCGCTTCCCCAGGCACAGAGACACTTACTTGTGTAGCCCGTATGCCACCCTGCCGAGGAGCCGCATGGACCTTTCCCCGGTGATATTCGGGAACCTGGCATTTCTGAACGCGACCTGAATGACCTGCGCTGTTTTCTGGTTCACTGTCGGTGGAAGGAAAAAAACCAAAACAAAAACGGGCAAAAACACCCAACTGCAATCTCTGCTGGCTGGAAAGTCAGGTCTGCACCCTGGGTTAAAGCACTACAGAAGAGTTTTATCCAAGGCATCTCCATTAGGTTAAAAGGAAGAACTAGAAGTAGCTTCAGAATAAATTTAAAAAAAAAATAATTCTCCCTAACAGCTGATGACAGCTGGGGACAGCAGTGTCTGTTGCTCCTAAACACTAGTGGGACCGTTCCCAGGGAATGAAGCCCAGCTTTCCCACACCCCACCTGCACCATCGGAGCATATTTTGGGCAGGTAGAAGCACAACCCGTTGACTTTAGCCCAGCGCTTTGCTCTGCAGCTGCTTGTTTGCATTGCAAGTCAGCTGTCGGGTCCCCAAAGGAAAACTTCTGAGACTCAGGTTTCTGTACTCAGCTCACTCCAAGCTTCTACAGGTTTGGTTTTTTTTTCCTTCCAGAAATACTCTATAGTTTGTCCCAGCACCCTCCTCTACGCTGTCAGAGGCGATAGGACAGAGTTGCTCCAGAAGCACTAATTACTCTTCCCCCACCAGCAAAGCCCCCAAACCATTGCAAATAAACCCACAGCAGCCAAGAAACCCCGTTTCTCACCTTGTGCACGCTCACCCCAAGAGACGAGATTGCAGCAAAGCACAAAATCAAACCCATGTTTGCTCTAGCTCTTCCCTGATGCCAGCCCAGAGCAGAGCCTCACTAAAACTTTGGGCTAAGGAGAGGGGTTAGGGACTGGTTTTTAGCTCCTTTGAGAAGTTTTGCCTGTTCAGGTGCTTGTGCTTTATCCCATGCCAGGTATTAATACATGTTACTAGATAAAACGGTTTCCACAAGAGCCGGGAAAGCAAGAAATCCCCTCGCTTGGCTGATCTCTCACTAACTTCTCGTGGAGCAGGAGGAAACGCAGCCGTGTTTGGCAGCTACTTACACATCAGCATCGCGGGCTTGGTCATCCTGCAGACAATCCCTGTGATGCTGTAAGGGACGGCTCCAAACTCACAGGCTGTCGCCGCACGGACAAGTGCAAGGAAGATCCCAAAGGTGCCCAGCCTCATCCTGCCCGCCCAGAGCATCTTCATCCGGAGCGGAGAGCACTGACGAGCCCGACTGATTCTTGACACCGGCAAAGGCTGCTTTCATACCTCTGAGCAGCCCTTGTTCGAAGCAGGACATGACCTGCTTCCTCCGGTTATCAAAACTCATCACGCGTTTCCTGATCTTCCTATAGTTTCCTTCGTGCTCTTCAAGTTGCACGCTGCCTCCCTTCCCCAGCGGGAGCTTGGGCTGCAGGACTTGGCTCTCCTGCCAAGACCGTGTTAACTTGGGGCATGTACACATCGTGGATGGTGGAGAAAGCTGAAGGGGCATGGAGATTTGGAGGGGATAAAGCCAAGGGAGCACTTCATGCTGTACTTCAAGCAAGTTCATCATTTGCTCTTCACACAAAAATAGTCTGAGTTTTGCATCCCTGCAGCTGTTCCCCAGCGAAGCCCTGTTTGGAAGGTACCCATGCTGCTAACTGCTTGTCCTGTTGATTTTAAGCACACTGTGGGGAAACTGAGGCACACTCCTGGGAAGGGTGTCCTTCCTGCTACCACCGGGCACATCTCTCACACCCCTGGAGAGCTCTATGAGCACAGGACTGGGATGCTCACTGCCTCCCAGCTGGCTTTGTGACCATCGCCTTCCACACGGGAAGAACCCACTAAACTGGAGCTTTTCACACGTGGAGCCTCTCAGCCGCTTACTTGAGAAACATTAAAAACCCAAGTTCACGTCCACTCCCCCTGCACCCTGTTATGGTGCTGGGGCCCATCCCCAAACGAGCTCCAGCACAAAACAGAGCGAGGTTATTCTGGTGAACCGTTTCACCAGCAAAGACTGCCAGAGAAGGAAAGGCGAGATCTCGGTGATGCTGCAGGAGCACGCTCAACCTCCTGAGCGAGACAAGGTGCTGGCCTCCCGTCTCTCCCCAGCAGACGCCTCGTCCTCCCCGCGCTGGGTGAGAACATTTCCCCCGGGGAGCCCCCCGGTCCAGTGGCCCCCACCCTGCTGCGCTGTTTTCTTCCTGAGGTGAGAAAGTGAATGGCCTTGGGTACCCCGGGGAGGCACTCGCGGTCACTGACCCACCGAGGGAAACCAAGCGTCTGCAGGCTTCCTCCAGACTGCTCCAGGCGAGCAGCGCGACAGCTAGGGACAGTCTGCCTGCCATGAGCCAAAAGCACGTTGGAAACAAGCAATTAAATGTTGAAAACACCTATAAATATAGATGTCTGAGCAGCACAGCTCCAAAATTGCAGCCCAGCGCCATCATAGCATCCTCCATGTCCTGGCTAGGAGGCCTTTTACAAGGCCACAGATACATTAAAAAAGGATTTAAACAATTCAAGAGGCAGCCCTGGCTTCTGTCCTTCAGCTCTCGGCTCCAGCATGCCCTGCCCTCCGCAGCAGCTCACGGTTCGAGGGATGCCAGCGCAGCAGCCAGCGCTAGGGTGAGGGAATTGTGAGGCAGTGAGGCGCTTCAATCGACTGCCGGTGGGAGACACGGCCCGGCCGGCACCTGTGTCCTCAACACAACTTCCAGCAGAGGACACATTCCCGTTTACCGGGGGATGCAGACTCTGGAGCGCGGTGCACACTGTTGAAGTCTTACTGGAAGGGATCCGGAGCCAGCGCTGCGGCGGGGAAGCAGTCCTGCCGAGCTGGGTGTCGGTCACTGTAAGTGGGAGCAGGAAAGGGAGAACCAGGACATTTTGGCAGAGGGGTATTTGTCACTGGTGGCCCAGGGTAGATAAGAACAGAAAAACCAAGAAGTCAACGTAATGGTTACAGCACAGCACCCTGCCCCATCACTGCTTCAGAGGCTGCTGCTGGCAGCTGACCTGAGCTGAGAGCAAGCGAGGACAGGGAACTGCCGGGCGTTGACCTCCAGCAGCAAGAACAGGAAGGCTGGAGACTTTCTGCCTACAATAAATAGCAAAAGCAGACAGCACGTGGAGGTGCTGCGAGCATCCCTGTCCTGGAGTAACCAGGCAGAGGCCGTGGCAGCGGGGACACAGCTGCCCACCCTCCTCCTCCCAGTGCAAGGTCAGGTTAGCAGGAGGCAGGTCAGATTTAAAAAAAAACAAAACAAAGAGAAAGGTTAACTTCATCTAGCAGGAGGCAAGGCAGCTTTCAAACCCAGCAAAAAGGTTCAATGCCCAAGCTGCTGCGTAGTAATTACAAAGGGGACGCTGGAAGATGTTTTGATGAATATTTGCTGCCTCAGGTTTTATCTGAAGGCCACGCACACACACGTGTGCTCACCACCTTGCTGGGGACTGTTCCATAACAGGGTTTGTTTTTTTCCCCGCGTTATCCAGAGCAGAGGGGCAGCACGGTGCCAGTAATATTTTCACCGCACTGACCCAAATGTTCCGTGTTACCCCACAGCTGCTTCCTGAGATAGCTTTCAGGTAGCAGCCGTGCTCTGCTCCGTCAGCAGGATGGGCTCCGGGACAGCAGCTCAGCCCGGGGGTGGCAGGAGGGTGAGCCCAGAGCTGGCTGCTCCCACCTCACACCGATCCAGCACTTGGCGACATGAACACACGGGTCAGTCCCGCACATTCAGCACCAGCCCCAGGAGAACGCAACCACCACGTCTTCCATCGTCCGGGGTTGCGCTGTCAAGCTCCAGCAGCAAGAATCTAGGGGTTGGAAATAACTTCTCTTCAAAGCTGAGCATTTTTTAGAGTTAAAAAAATGTGGCTGTGACAGGCTTGGATATTAGGCAGCAAATAAATCCAGCAACTCCAGTTTGGGAATGGTGAGATTTTAACAGATCATCACTTGGGAAGGTAAAACCACCCCACAAGGGTTTTTTGAACAACAAAGTTCATTAAAAAATTCTCGTGAAACCAACCTGATTTCTTTTCGTCCCTACCAGTATCACCCATAACAACCTCCCAAAACCAGAAAATAAGCTGGCACACACAGGTGGCCTGAGGGCAGCTGTGAGCCTTCAGCTCAGTTTCTGCACTGCCAGACTGAAAATGCAACTTTCAGTGCTAATATAAGAAGTTGGGGGCAGTTCCCCTGCAGCACAGGCCACCGAGCTGACACGAGACCTGGGCCTAAGAAGCAGCATCTCCCAGCACCTGCCCAACCCTCCTCGGTGATCTCTGAGCATCCTCGGACCTCGGGTCCCTCCCTGCAGGTTTGTGGCCCGAGCTGCACACTCTGCCTGCATTACCTCCACGTTATCATTGCGTTTGATTTTCAGACATTAAATGCTGTCAGACATTCTCTCCTAGGAGAGACCAGCTCTGCAAATGCCCCCGGCCTCACAGCCAGGAACAGATCACAGGGAGGTTGTAACGCTTTGCACAGCCCTCAGGATGTCTCTGGCTGCCAAGAACAGGGACAACAAGTACGTGCGCAAGTAGAGAAAAGGGGAGGTCACCCCCCACACACCCCAACTTATCTGCTCAGCAGCAACCTCATTCTCGTGAGATTTATGCTCTGTGAGTTGAGGATGGGAGCATACCCTTGGTGACAAACAGGGCTTCAAGGACTCTTCAAGCTTACTCAGAAGCTCCTGCAGTGAGACGAAAAACACCCGAGAAGACAGACTGTACATTTCTCCCTTGACTTGTTTACTAGCAGGTTGAGACCTAGTCTCAGCCAGAGGGTATCATCAGGAGACACAGCAGCGGAGAAGCTGATTTTGTTCTGCTGTGGGCCGTCACCACCTGCACAACGCACCAGCTCTCCGTGAAGCACAGCAGCACATCCATGGCAGAGCAGGTCCATCACGGCAGCTCTGCTCACGAGCAGGAAGAGGATTTCAACCAGCAGCAGAATCCCACTTCTTGAAGCATGAGCCAAGACAAACCCCAGCTTCCTACACACACAGCCTCGAGGCCCTTTCTGGTGTCTGCAACTTCTGTCCCGGCACAGGGTCATGTTATTCCCAGAGAACCTCTCTGAGACTCCTACGCTCTTTCAGCAGCCTTGCTCTGGAAGTTTCAAGGCTTATTTTCCCCCTAAATTCCCACAGAATTACATAGCATTTATGTGCCCAGCATCCTCCACTGCAGTCGGAGCTTCCCTCCACCCCCGTGGCAAAAAGAGAGGTACGCGTTTCACTAAGCCGTTTTCAGAACATTCTCTGAGGCCCAGGAGCCTCATTACATCCCTCCAGTGGCATTAGCTACGCTTAATTAGTTTTCCAGCTAATTTTAAACCAGCCCACCAGCTTGTGGGAGCAGCAAATGCCTCAAGACAACAACAGATGTTCTGCTGTCTCTGGCAACTTCTCAGGTTCGACATTTTACAGGTATTCCCAGCACACAGTTGCCTGAACCACACCAGAACAGTTTATTTCTGTCTGCCATGAAAAACTCTCTCCTCCCAAGACTGAGCCCAGGCACATCCCAGTTGATTTAGGCACTGAGACAGCCACGTGATTAGATACACCCTGACACGGAACCTCCATCATCCACAAAACCCACAGGTAGAATTGCCACTGGCAAGAAAGATGAGACACTACCTCCAAGAACTTCCCAAAAGCTTATGCAGGACATAACCAAACTCACCTCCTCTCAAGTTACTTAATTCTTTCAAGACTTCCTTGCTGGATTTTACCACTGTCCTATCCATCCTCTCTGGCAAATTGAAGATGTGGCAGAAAAAGACTTGGAAAGGAAATTATTGCTCAAAGATGAAGTGGCATGATCAAGCGTTACCTGTTAGGCTGCTGCAACAGCTGGTACTAACTCACACGTGTCCTGAACAAACAGTTTTATCAGCTGCAGGTAGCACCGAGGAAAAGCGTGACAAGTTTCACCAGTAGCTGTTGTTCGTTTCAAGCCAAGGTAAATCCCTGGGCCAAGGTAACACATCGCAACACCACCAGGAGCGACACGCCAGAGGTCAAACTCCCAACTTCCCCAACACCTGCAGAATTACCAGCTTCAAGGTATCCCCAGCCTTCGTGCCAGCAGCTTTCAGTGAGCAAACACGAGCTACAAGCTCTGCAGGGCACTGTAAAAGGTTGAAGGATACAGTCAAGCAAAGAGCCGAGTTTAAGGCTCTACAAGCGACTCTTCCCCTCGTGTCCCATTTATCATGATTTTTCAAGGTGTGAGCACATCCCACGCTTTCACGTGGGTCATCTTCGGATTGCTGTGCAGCATATACAGATATGGATATAAATGCCTGCAAGTTTTATTGAAATAAAAGCCCTTAACCAGAAATTAAAGGGAACACAATGAATACAAGAGCTGCTCTGGAGTGAGAACACAAAGTTGAAGACGAGCACCACGCTGCTTTAAGTTTGCATCCAAAAGCAGCGAGGAAGTTTACGCCTTGCATAAATTCTTGCTAGATAGAGCCGCACACATTCTTCTTCCATGATTTGGTAGGGGGAGGTGGAAATTAAGCCTTGAGTTCAAACTATTTAAATTGGGCAACACGAAGTTTAGCCTGCAGCTCCACTAAGGTCATGGCTCATCGAGAGGTCACCGTCTTAAAAATCACCCGCTTTGTCCAACGAGGAATCGCACCATACATCCTTCAAAGGAAAATATTTACACAGAAGATTTAAAACTATTGCCGAAGCGATTTAACAATAGGCCTTTCCTAAAAATCTGCTAACGCGTATCTAGCGATTATTATTTTTCATTTTGGAGATCCTACACTCAGTGTAATTTAAAAGAGCATTTGAAACATTCCAACAGGAATCACATTGCACACAAAGAAGCAATTTGCTTCCCTAATGTTTTTGGCACACCTGGTCAGAGCCTGTGCCTTTAGTGCGCAAGCTCACACCGCCAAGCCTCTACCTAATAAATGCTACAGAGCAAAGTTCTTTGGAACCAGGGCAAGCATCTGAGTCTCTAGGCTGTAACAACATGAGGCTTCTCGCAGCTTCATTCACTCCGTCAGTGAAAGGCAGAGGATGCTCCACATCCACTTTCACTCCTGGTTTGGAGTTGCTCTCCGACTCATTCAGGCCATCGCGGTTTCGGACAAGCAGACCGGCGACAAAGTCAGTTGCGGGTCACTCTGGGCCCTTCTGGGAGGAGCGATGCAAAGAAAGTCTTGAAAAAAACCCACGCCGTGCTCATCAGCGAAGGGTGAGCCCGCTGCAGGTCTTGTAGAGCTCGTCCCTCGTCGGGAGATTCCGCGGATTCATCTGCTCCGCCCGCATTTCCCCCCTGCCAAAATAAAGGGTATTTGGTAAATGAGATCATTTCAGAAATGCATTAATCGGGTGTCAAAGAGCATGTTCTGTTACCCAAATGTCACTGTCGGAATATAAAAAGGTTCCAAGTATCCCCAAACAACCACAAAGTAAAAAAAAAACCAAACCCACAACAAAAAACCAACAAGCTGCACACTAGTAGTATGTTTAGCTCTGACCAAGTGTCCAGGGACACAGTTTAGGACAGCGATGAAGCATCAGATCAGGTCAACTACGTATTTACAACTAAGTAACTTTCACTGACATCAAGCAGAAGCTTCAGCTTGAAATGCAAGACTCTGATTGCTCTTACACTTGAATCCTACCACGGAGGTGGGAATCTAAAGCCTGTTCTCCGTTACAGAACCTGTTCAGCCTGCGACAGGCCGCTCTCCCCTGCAACATCCTGAAGGACAGAGGCAGCTAAGAGATAATTCAGCCTGAGAAATCTTAAAGAGAAAAATTTGCTGCCCCCAAGGAGGACTCAGACTGGCAATCAGTCCCCTGTGGAAGACAGTCTCTGACAAAAAGTTTAGCGACAATTTTCTGCTACTGCCTGCAATCAGTAAACTGAAACAAACACTTTTTAAACTGCAAGCATGAAGCCTTGTGAAAAGTTAAAAATTAACAATAGCAAGACAATACCTGTAAATTGTTATTCTGGTCTTGGTTTGCAGCAGCTTGAGGAGGAACGTTGCCTGGGAAGGGCTGAGCTGGTCTTCGTCTAAATGGAAGCCATCCAACGTGGTGCCTGGGGAAGGCAACAGATTTTTACTAACACTGCTCCAAACATTGCTCCTTCCCATTACTCCACCACAGCACGAGGAGCACCCGGCTGCTCCGAGCTGCAGGCAGCACGTTCCGTGGATCACGGTCTCTCTGCCCTGACCCAGCAAGTACTTTTAAAGCCTCCTGTCAGCAGGGAAGTGGGAGGTAGGAGGGGAAGACTGAGCATCTGCTCACATTCAAACCAAGCAGCACTACAGCTGGGTTTGTACTCACCCTAAAAAAGAAAGAATGTGAAACAAAGCCTAAGAAGCTTCTCAGGTCTGTGTCTCTACAGCACCTGCGCCCCATAAGTTGAAGTTACACTTTAGAATGATCACTACTGACGTTTAAGAACATTTAATGAAGTGATTGACCTTCACTCTCCCAAGTCTGCACAGAGGGTGGAAGAAATCATCTGAGCTGCTCCAGTTTTGGCTCCTAGACCTACCAACAGGAATTCAGAAAATTCACTGTTCACTGCCACTTGTTTCACCAGTGATCAAAGAATGTGCGAGGACGGGTTATCCTCCTCAGACAAGACATCCCACAGGCAGCTGAGGGCTCTTGATGGTGCTTCCGAGATTTACGCCAAGTCTTTCCTACACCATGAGGCTCAAAGGCAATCCAGGACACTGCCTTCAGCCTAGCTTGGTCTGCTCTCCAGAGAGGCAACACACAGCAGAAAAACCTGCACGGCTACATCTAGATAGCAGGTGCAAGACCCTCCTTCCCAGACTTCAAAGACTTTTTTCCCAACGAGCAACTGTCATTTACTACACCGAACCTACAGGTCGGTCTGCTCTACGCTACCTGGGGCTTTACGCCAAGAGCTACTTTGGCTTCAAGTAGTTTTCTCAGATCACACACTGTCACACATTCTTCATTTAAACTGGGCACAGGCTACCACTGTATTTTTGCTAAATACCGAGTAATTAATTCTGTGCACTTACAGATACATGAGAACAGTGCCACCCATAACCAGGAGGAATCTGCTGACACTGGAGTAGAAATAGATAATGTTGACAAAAACATAGAACAGCGTCGCCGAGTAGAGCCAGTCCAACCAGTCTCGATTGCCGCCCTCCTCCTCTTCCTCCATGAGGGGTCCCCCTTGGGCATTCATCCGCAAGTTCGGGTTGGCCGCTGCGTTAACCTGGGCAGCAGGATTCTGGTTACCGGGCTGGTTTTGTGCAGGAAACGGGTCTGGGAGAGGAGCCGGGGGTGTCACCGGTGCCACCGGTATCTCCTGAGAACGTCGTGCATGGGACGGGTCAGCCGATGCAACGGTAGAAGTCAGGCTGAAACCAGAGCACAAAATACAGAATAAGGCTTGGTCAGATCGTAGAATTCTATGAAATCCTTCCACACGGGTGCTGAAAGTTTGTCCAGCTTGAAGTAGAGAGTCAGATCACACACGAGCAGAAAAAAAACAAGTTTAGAGGCTGCAGAGGGTTAAAAGCAAGTTTTAGTTGTACCCAAGACAACAGCTGCAGAGAGACTTCAAACCAGGCACCTTCCACTTTACAAACAATAATTTAAACACACTGAAAAAATAAAAATAAAAAATCTTCAGAGCAATCTGAAGATGGCCTAGAAGGCTTTTGCAAATCCCAGCTTTACCTCTGTCACTGATTTCCAGTCAGGGCTCCGGGTGCTACTTTAAGCATTCCAAAAAAAGCGTGAAGAGCTAAGGCTCAGCAGCAGGATGACACTCAGGCACCTGCCCTCTCAAGCCTAAGAGAGATCTGCCCTGTGCAAGATTTAAAGCCGCTGACCTAAAGCCAAGCAGGTACATTCCCACATCATTCCGTGGAAGTTACAATAAACCAAAAAAATCTTCCAACCACCACCAAAAGAGGAAGAACTGCCAGCAGCTCTCCACTGCCTTGTCGTCCGAGCTTCTACTTCCTACTGGTAGCTTTGGATGAGAAACTTACTATTGCATGTAGTATTGTCTGGCATAGATCTGCTGAAACCAGGACATCTGCAGCATGCTGTAGGTTGTGTAAGCAGAGAAGCCGGGAGGCACGCTTGGGAAGGGATGCCGCGGCGGTTCCAGCCTGGGGGAAAATTTGGAACACATTCATTAACACCGGACAAACTTCAAGAGTCATCTATGACAGGACGTAATGTAATTAGCTTCCGCCACTTTGCACGTGCAAACACAAAATTAATTGTGCCTTCCAGAGTAGTAAAGACATCACTTTACCCACAGGAATAGAGGGAAGATATTCAGCTATCAGAGCAGTGCATTTTCATTTAGCTTCTTCCACATCTGCTACAGCTTTTACATACAAGCTCATCGTCTTTGGCTCATGCTCTATGGACTTAAGGAGCTGGCATCCAACACAAAGTCAACTTTTTAAAAATCCTAGTGATGCACAGAAGAATTGTATTTACCTGCTACTGGCTTCTGCTGCAGCCTGGCCACCAGAAGAACATCTCAGCCGTTCACCATTTGTGGAGGACGCAGGTGGCTCTGACGATAACTTTGGCTGGTCAGCTTTAACCTGGGGACAACACAGTGCAGTTAGGGAGGTTTGCTCATGACACAAGCCTTACGTGGAAAGATTAGGCCACACTTTTATAACTGCTGCACAGTTCACACACTTTGTCCTGCACCGTACCTCCAGGCACTGCCCTTGGGCACCACGCCACGAGCGCCTCCATCTGCATTTTAAAGCTCCTGAAGAAGTGACTGAAGCGTAAAACTGACCTGGCTTTCGCCAGATCTACACCTCAAATCTTTTTTCTGTGTGCAGCCAGGTTATAAAAACGTAATTGAAAGAAACAGAGGTAACTTCACTGCAGACAATTTGACTTTTTCCCTGAGGTAAGTTTGCAGTCGCACATACCCCCGGCTGTAAGAAGGGTTCAAGAGCTGTTCTGCAGCGCTACATCTGTAGATGTATTTGTAGCACAAAGCCAGCTCACACCTAACCACTGATGAGCTCAAATTGCTCATAACGGGCCACGTAAACACATCTTGACACATCAGCGTGTCCACTTGAAGGTAAAAAAGGGCTTTAGCCACTGGCACTTCAGACCAGTAAGTGCTCAGATCAAGGACTAAGGCTCTTCTTTGGCTTCCTCTCCAGGGGCTGTCAGTAACGAGAGGAGTTACAGCGCTCAGCAAACATCCTTCTTCCTCCCCTAAACCCCAATCCAGAGATCAGAACCACTTTCACTTTTAACTACCGTGTCTTCTGCCCACAAGCACAGCCTCTGTCAAAAGAGCCTGCGACATGACACATTCTATTTCATAAACTGACCAGAAAGCATTTCTCCTCTGAGCATGACATTACGACTATGTTATAGTTTGGATATTTCTTAGCTTGCCACAAGAAGCTTCACTGATGAACTGTCAAGACAATTTGTTCACTCATTTTGATGCACATAAGAGTCTCACATTCCAAAACAAGTCATCCCAAAGTAATGCTGCCACTGCAGCAGCAGGAAAAATCTGCAGTACAAGGGAATTTTAAAACTGCCATTCACTGTTTCCCATTTTCAGTTGCAAGGCCAAGATTTGGAGTATTACATTAACTTGGTGTAACTACCTCGGTTTCTTGCGCATTCACAGGACCCTTGAAGTTGTACACCAAATGAAGAGCATGCAACTCCCCGTCCTGAAATGTAAGTGAAAACACATTAAAAAAAAAAGTAATCGCTTTCCTTTATATATTTCAGCACTCACAAAAGGAAAGGTGTCTTTGCATACCTTTGGCAGCAACTCTCCCAAGTGGTGATGATCAAGCAGCAACTTCCCAGCATAAATCAGCTTTTGGTCGCTGGGGCAGCGGGTGGGAGGACGGCACCCTCCTCACCCTATAGCCGCGGGTTTCCGCGCAGCCGCCCTCTCCCACTGCCCCTCCGAGCCCCGTTGCCTCCCACCCCCTCCTTCCAAACAAGTGGGTTTTTTTGAAATTGTTTTATCAAAAGACGCGGCGTCGGTTAAAACCTTTTCTAGAAAGCACCCCCCCTTCCTTCTCCCTGGTTCTCGTCGCTGCGGGGGCTGGACCCCAACAGCTGTAGGGCACAGTCCTCTCGAGAACAGCAATGGGTGCCACGGGGTGGGGTGGGCACTTCCCCCGCCAGCCCCACAGCCCCGTCCCACATGCCGTGGGCCACCACGAGCCCCGCAACCAGCTCTGCAGGTGCCCCGGGGGGGAGGGGGACAGTGGGGGGGGCCAGCGGGTGGAGACCCCAGCCCTGCGGGTGCAAGGCAGTGCCTGGGAGCAGCACCCCTGACCACGCAGAACTGGGGGTTCGGGGGGACGCTGTGGGGCATCCCCGTCCCTCAGCCCAGGGCCAGGCTGTTTTGGGCCGGCGACACGCAGCTGCGGCCCCCCACGCCTTTAGGGGCAGCTAAATTTGGCTCTTAAAAGGGGAACAACCCAATACCCAAGTGCAAGATCACCGAGGCGCAAACCAGCAGGAGGATATAAAGCAACTCTCTGGCAAAGACCGCTGCTAAGCGCTGTCCCTTTTACAGCCCCACCAAAATAAAAATTGCGTGTCATAGGAACAGGGGGTTTGCGAGCCTTCCCAACCCGGCTGGGGGTGTCAAGAAAATCTGAGAACCACCCGCGGGCAGCTCCCTGTTGCCGGCAGCCACATGGAGGCCATGGGGTTGGTTTCAGCGCCTGATTGTGCAAGCAATCTCCCCAGTTGTAGAGAAAATGAGGCCACAAAATCAGCTGCAAAGGTAGCTCAGCCCCCGAGCCCCGCCAAACACCTTGGCCATTTCCAGCTCGGAGCACCCCTGCCAGCCCGCTGCCCTGGCTCCGCGCAGCCCGGGAGGAGCTTCCCGAGGAGAAAAACAAAACCAAACCCACCCAGGGGGAGCCCCAGCGGCTCGCAGAGGTGATGCCCACCCCCCTGCCCGGGC